TATATCACTTAAAAATGAAAATAAATCAGTTAATTTGTTTGCTAAACTCATTACTTTTTTTCCACAGTAAAGCAGGGATATATGAGGTAGAAATGGCTATTGCTATCGCAGCTTAGCTAAAAACATGCTACTATCCATAGCATTATCCTTGTGTTCCGAGCTAGCTAGTTAGCTAGCTATCAATTTACACAATTGATAACCCGGGGTACAATATACACTCACAACCACAAAACCCTCAAAAGAGAGAGAACAGTCTGAGAATAACCATTTAAAAAATAAGTACTTTCAAATGACCGTAAACCAATCATGTTAATTAATGTTAAATCATGTTAAATCGACTTAACATCATTTTCTCTAAGCAGAGGTAATGTCTGTCTTCCTCCTTTGTTTCAGTTCATGACGCCCTCAGAAATCCTACTGCTTTGATTACGTGTGAGCGCTGAAAAGAAAAGATATATCTGAGTTTTAAATGACGGATCGTTCTCAGTCACCCGTCCGTCAACAGCTCAGTTTGATGTCTGGTTTGATGTCTAATCCACAACACCTGATCTGACTGCAGTAATGTGAACGACCTATTTCTGGACAATCAGATTTCAGCAGGTCTCCACCTGCTTACCAGCGCCTGCACTTGTTTGCTCTCAATCCCAGCTGCTCTGGCACCGGGCCCTGCTGCATCTTTTAAAGTGCACGCACTAAACAAGCAACATTGTTAATAAAAAAAAATATTTATTTTTAAGAATGACTGCAGTATCGTAAAAGTGGCTTTCAGTCGAATGTGTTGAGCACATGAAACCTTTGTGTTGTTCACACAGTGGACACGGACGAGAGACGGAGAGGTTTCTTACCCTCCTTCTTCGGAAAATCCTTCCAGTTCATCTCTCTGCTCCGCCAGTGTGGACTCCAGGTCCAGGTAGCTTCCATTATGGGACAACTGAAGGGCACAGTCATCAGGCTGAAGAATAAAAGTCAGAGTTTAGGATAAAATATCAACAGAATCGGTTTGTAACTACTTCTGGGAAAAGTATTCTTTAGTAGACAAAAAAAAAAAAAAATATTGAGTGATTGAACTCAACCACATACGTTCGCCATCCCATCATCCATCACATTCCACCTGCTTCACTCTCTTTCCCACACATGTACAGAATGCTGTTTGCCTTCTACTGACTTTCTTATCTCTCCACTTCATCTTGCATCACTCCAGGTTTTCTTATGTGCTGCCTACATTCAATGTAGATTACAGCATCGCCTGCATATATAAGAGACCATGGAGATTCACATTTATCATCTAATCTGTGTGCTCTGGTTTTTCTTTAACATCACACATACACACATTTGTAAACAGGTGATTTTTTTTGTTTCCCTTTTTCTCACTTGTATGGCTTTAATTTTAATAGACCTGATCCTGGTGTCAGCTCAGTGGCTTAAGGGTTTCCCCCCCCTTATGGTAACACAGACCATAACCCATGTACATTATAACATGAAAACCATATGTGTTTTAAATTAGTCAGGTAATTGCCAGGTCCATTACAGCCCAGAGGAAGTCGAGCTGTATGACAGTAACGTGACTGCAGTGTAGTGCAGAAAGGCTGAGAAACACATTAGGGTCTGAAGTCTTTGATCCGTTAGTGTGACTGCCCTGCAGCACTCACAGAATTGTGTCACGTCTGAGATCAGAAACCAAACGTGGTCGACAGTGACGGCGACTCCAAAAACATCCAGAGCAACAAAAACACAAGACGGTTGCTCTTCTTCAGATGGAACTGAATAGAAATCAATGTTATTGGTCTGTTTCAACCTGAGCATCTTTCTCTGAGGAAGACGGTGACATGGTTGGGTTTATGTTCCTTCAGTGAGGCAGACTCATAAGAAGAGGCCGAGATAATAAAAACATAGAGAGAAACACAGATAAAAGTGCACCACAGCTACAGGCGGAGGGGAGAGGGGGAGAGGGGTGAGTTCTACAGTCAGAACCAGAACTGAGGGTAACTATTTTTATGCCTCCAGACTGAAATGTCTTTGAAAATAATAGGTGTGACAGTAATAGGAAATGTAGCATGAAGGTGAAGTCACGCTCAGTCATATATGATGACAAGTGCCTCGACCCTGGGTGACCTCTGGGAGAGTAAACCGTCGAGCTGTTCCAGGACAGACAGATGATCTCATATATATATATATATACTGTATAAAGCAGAAGGCGTCCTAACATATGGACGGCTGCCCCTGCACTGTACTGCATGTTAATGCAGTAAATGTAAACAAATGCTCAGCAATTGAAGAAAAGGAGAAAATTGGCGATATTTTAATACAGTAAAATGTAAAGAAAACATTTTTATAAAAATTTAAACTACAGTTTTTATTTTTAATATCACTACTACAAACATAAGATATATTTAAGAAATATAATATAAAACTGCATGTCCTTGTGGGCCTCAGGTTGCTTTACTTGACATTTGTGTTACATACAATTGCCACTAGGGGTGAGCAGTGAGGGCAGTATATAGTGGGTGGTAATATACAATACTGTACAAGGTTAGATGAGAATTTGAAAAGTATATTATTTATTGGTACCAAATACACACGATTATTATAAACTTTTGAAAAGTATATTATTTAATGGTACCATTGTACCAAATACACACGATTATTATAAACTACACAGAACTATCTTTCACTGTAACTGCCAGGTATTGGCTTTTAGTGAAGTTTCCATCATTTGACCTAAAAAACTATTGGTGATTGGCAATGACACGATTGAAAAATCCTCATTCTTGAATTGGTTTGTCCAATACACAAAAATCCTCATTCTTGAATTGGTTTGTAAAAAAATTGGTACGGGAACAACCTCTTTGTATGTTATCACATATTCATTTATCTGCTATCTGGGTTGTCATGATGAAAAACTGTGCTAATGCCTGCATTACATACATAGCTTGATAGTTTGTATGAATGTATCAGAACAGCTGTGGGAAGATATTTATTATTGAATGTATTGGTCATAATTTCCTAAACTGTCTCTTATACAACAATAGCTTATCCTCAGATTATTTCATTTTGTAACAAGTTTAAACAGACAAACATGGATGTTGGACTAAAGTGAAGCCATAATTAGTGAACTCTGGAACCAAGTCAGGTTTGTGTTTGTCACACGTTTTAAAAATTCAACAAGCCAAATACGTAGAAAAGTTTAAATCAACTGAAGAAGCCTGGACAACCATCAGTTCTCTTCACACCTCACCATCCTTGTGTTTACATTCATATATTTCCTTCTACCTTTACCACCTTAGGTTCTGTGCACTTGATCTGAATTTAATGGCCCAGTTCCAGGCTGAATGTGATGGGATCGGACCAGCAGCAGAGGCTTCGTCAACTGTCCCCTGCCCAGGACGTGAACCCACGGTGCCTTGACGATGGCCGAGTCCAGAGAAGTAACCACAGGAGCTCTGCTCACACACTGAGTCTAGCCGCTCCCTTCAACCACTGTACTGTGGTCCACTGACCAGGGAGGCACTTAGAGCAGGTCTAAAAATAAGGACCGTGCAATTTCCAATTTCAAACTGCAATTTCACGCCAAATGTCTTTGTCTTCCACAAGAAAAGACGAATGCTTTTTCATTTCACTGTTGAAATTGAAAAAGCAAATGCTTGATGCAGCCTTTTCATCTAAAATATCGAAAGTACCAACAACGCTGACTTTTGGGGAGTTAATGCTGTGTTTGCCAAAAGTTAAAAAAAGGGCTAAAAAGTTGTTGCGGACAGTGTTATCAAGGCCTGGAGGAAAGAAATTAAAAGAAGAAATCCACATCAGTCCATCAAGCAGAGGACGAGTGGGTCCACGGAAGCTGCATTCTTCTGGAAGGATCTCACATCTGAGACAATCGTCTAAAAAACACAGACCGGCAAAACCTCAAAGCTGCATAACAATGTGTAAAAGAATTCAAAGGAGCTCTGACAGCCATGAAGGAGGAACCTGTATTTTACAGCATTTAACATAACTTCTCATTATGAGACTCTGTAATTTCTGGAGAAAAAAATGTAGCAAAATAACTGGGCCTGAGATTGGAATTGGTCAAGTGTGAGTTGGTTTTCCAGGACGTAGCCACATTCTCCCTGCCTTGAATTCTGATGTGACTCTTAGACTCATGAACCTGCTGCATTGATTTTAAAAAACTGGGTCGTCTTGCAGCAACTCTGACAGATTTGGAAAACCCTGCACTTTATGTCATCTGAGAAGGACAATTATCTCTATTCATGATGGCTTCTGAGTGACAGGTCACAATTGAGCCACTTAAGCAACAACATAAGATAAGATGCTGCAGCTGTAATCCATACTGGGGGTCTTTCACACCAGGATCCAACCGATGTCTTTGCCTTATTCAAGGATTAAAATCAAGTTTCTTTCAAGTGGTTTTTTCAGTTTTGGAAAGAAAAAAAAAATCAGATGGCACTAAATCGAAAGTTTTTTCAGCAGTAGGGGGCGCCTGAGAGATATGTCTTCACATGATTACAGTTGGAATAAATTTGGTCCTTTCACAAATAATAAAAATTGGCGCAGGAACCTCAGGTTGCAGATCTTTTCCCTGGTCCCTAGGGGCAGAAGTCTGTCCTGAACAGAGGCATATTTCTAAACATAACTCTAATCTCACCTTAATTCCAATCTTAATCACAAACCAAAAACTAACTAACCCCACAAGTATAAGTGTACCCACCACCAAGTATGGACTAACCAGAACACACACATTGATCCCCCTCCTTGCCCCCCTGAGGCTGCAGACTGACACTGACAGAGCAGTCCTCAGACAGCACATGCTAGCTGTTTTGACTCCCTGGACACCATGTGTTAGCAGCATGCTATTTATACCAGGGTAAACAGCACCACAGCGACACCGTTTAAAGACAACAGGTTTGATGTCAAAGGTCATCACCAGGATCCACCAAAAAGACACCTTTTGAGAATCAGAGAGCACCCAGTCCACACACACCCTCCTGTTGTCCACCTGTCATCATGTCTTTAAAAAGCACAGGAGCAGCTCCTCCACTCTAACCTCTCTTGCTAACCACTAATGGGACTCAGTAGACGAGAGTCGCAGAGCTTTACTCAGTCTGTGGTCCAGTCGGGGTCCTCAGATGTCAGGTCTTTGTTTGTGTTTTTAATTCTGTCCACTTCCTTGCCGTCTCTCAAACGGTGGACGACGTTCCCATCCCATCCTGCTGGTCCAGCAGAGCAGAGCTGCAGACTGAGAGGCAGGCCTGTGGTGACCCACAGCATCCTGAGGCTTTCATGACTTATCTAACCAACGCCAGTCAAACACCATGAAGTACCCAGGATTGGACAGAACCAAGAAAGACTCCAATTAACTGTCCGTTTCCTTGGCCTCCTCACCCAGACAAAAAACGTGCCTTAAACAATCCACTGAATGTGAGACAGACTCACCTGATCAAGCAGTTATTTACTAAATATAAGTTTGCAGTAAACACAAGAGTAGGCAGCTAAAGACACTCCACTGTGTTGGAGCTGTACACCTCCACCAATGGTCAAGCAAACATTTAAAACACACACACAACTTTTGAAACCTAAAAAAGTTGTTAAAGTATTTTTAGATATCTGCAAAACCTACTTCAGTTAATGAAAAAAATCGTTAAAAAGCTTTTGAAAACACAACAGTTGTGAACGCGTTCTTCTACAAGAAATGGTAAAATCCAAATCTTGTCACAAAAACACAAGGTGACAATTTGGCACAGAAGTGGATTCGGAAGTCACGTAAGGATCGGCTGGATCATTATCCAAATCCCCAGATCTGGGTCAATCCAGGTCAAGGATTATCTCCTTCCTCCCGTCAACAAGTGACCAACTGGTCATTTGACCTCGCCTATTCTAACTGATGCTGTGTAGTGAGTGTAGCACCGCTGGTCTCATACTCCAACCCATACACCGGCATACTCAGTAATGACAGCACTAAGTACCAGGCTGCTGTCCCACCAACAGTTCCTCAGCTCCGTCACTGGGAACGTGGTTACAACCACGTCAGGTTTATGATACTGAGCAGACTCCTCTCACTGTTCTAGGGTTCTACACACAACAGGGAAGTTTCCCGGGTTCTTAAAGGTCCCACAGAGTCCAGATAATGAATAATAAGAGGTTTCCACTGAAAGGACACGCTCATTGTGGCTGAGGTAAACATTAACAGATGCCTGCCCCTTCACAACCCAATAATGGATAGTCATTCCACTCTAATAATACTTAATATATATACACTATACTTTCACAATGTACGTATAATCTAGTGAAACAGTACACACTACTGTATATGACTTTGAAGGTTGTGCTGCTGCATCAGCCTTCCACATCAGCAGACTGACTGCATCAAATCACTGCTTCAGTCACTGCTCCACTGGGTTTGTTTGGTGGTAACGCCACAACAACATGAACAGGCTAACCATCATCATCATCATCATCATCCTCGTCAAGTTTGAAGATTTTGTCTACAGGCTACATTCAAAGACATTGAATACTTGAATTTTTTTTTAACTAATTCGGTGCATACTGTACCTTGTGAGGAGCTTTCAGCAGTCTGTGGACTCCAGCAATCTGATTGATGAGAGGAATATCTTCCCTGAAGGTGAACAGAGGTGGCCTGGTGGGTTCTGGGAAATTGGTGCTGTTAAACGGATCAGTGTCATCTAAAAACTGCACCCTGCATATAAGCGTAGCCATGGTGCAGCCATGCAAGGCGTTTTTGTTTTATTAAGCTGATCAAAACAACGGATGCGACACCACAGACAACCACCTTCCCACCCTTGCCCTTACCCCCACCCTCGGCCACGCACTAAGGCTACCGGTCAGCAGGTCTTCTGCGGCAGCAAAACACCGCAACTCCTCTGTTGTTATCCTTGGATCTTCTCCATTCGCAGCGCAGAGGAGTCAGTACAGCGCACCGGCGGTGCAGGAGTATAAGGTCCAGCAGTTTATCTCCTTCAGAGATGCAGTGACTCGGGTCAGTCAGTCTGAGCAGGGTGGGAATGATCTAGGCGGAGTATCCAAGGGCATTGGGGGCTGCTGAGGTGCTGAGGCAGACTGCGGACGGGACTGCTTCACTTGGCGCTCGGTCTGTGGGAGCTGATGGTTAGTGGCTCCCTCCTCAACAGAGAACTCTGCCAGCAGAGTCACACACAGAAGCTGCAGCCAGAGCTCAACCGGCAGACACGTAGCTCAGGTTACAAGCGCAATGGCGAGCCCCAGTGGCCTAAAGTGAAATCTACATTCAACTGTAACCTGTAGCGAGTCGCGTTTGGTGCTCGGCAGCAGTTCTCTACCATTTTCCAGTGACGTTCCAGTGACGCTATGAACTTTCATTTCATCAGTCAAGTACCGTCCAAACAGCACGAATCACTTTCGGTTAAAAAAAACAAAAAAGCTTGGGCACTTGGTCGGGTGCAACTTGTAGATGTGAACAACAATACCCCCCGCCCCCCTTTGATTACTGCTAACGTGTTTCACCTGTGTCGTTAGCTTCCTGCCTCCTGTTGCAGCGTCACTTCCGTCTGTTGTCCTCATGTTTATCGCCTGTGAATTGATTTACCTGGGCTAAAGATAAGGACACACTACAACATTTAGGGCAGAATTTGCTCTCTGGTTCTGATGGTATTTGTGTTGGATGGAGTTTTTTGTTTTGTTTTGTTTGTTTGTTTTTGTCTTTATGCTCTATTACTAGGAAACAACATTGAACTAGTGTTCAATTATAATGTAAAAATGGATAAAAGGTGATTAAAATCACACACTGAAATGTAGGTTAATCAATCTTTATAAAAGAAAACAACTGTTTCATTAATATATTCTTTGACAACATTAAAAATATCCTATCATTAAAATATGCAGAAATATTATCCAGTTATCCCATCATATGGTTGAAATATGGCCCTGGATTATTCCTTAGTTCCACTACTGTATGCCTAGAACAGTGTAAAATGGACTGACTTGATGTATGGAATCAGTTAAACCTCCGGTCAACTGCATCACCTATTTTCAGCTCACTGACGTTTTATGAAGAGATGTACCGGCATAATAATGATGGCCAAAGTCCTCCAGTGTTTGCATCAGACATGGCCACTAATGCAGATCTTGACAATGATTATACAGTCCCAACGAAAAGTTATAATGTAATTTATAGGCAGATAAGAAGAATGTCAACACCAACATTTGATATAATATCTCGGGGAGAGTCAATAATTATCTTTGTGATTATCCAGGACAAATAAATAAGGGCGCTTTAGGTCAATGGTTGGTTTCAACAGTATGTTAAACCGCAACACCGCAGTGAGTAGTATGTGTAAAGTTTAAATGTTTTTTCTGTGGAAAAACTGTCAGCATTCTTTATGACACTTCATGGGATACAGTAGTAATGCAGATTTTTGTTCCTTTTTAGAGGTCAAAAAATACATGTTGTTTTTGTTCTTCGCTTTCTTCCTATATTCTTGTTATATTTTATTAAGTCACTTCAACGGACGTTATACATATAATTATCAACAAAACTAATAACGGTCGATTGGAGCAGTTTATTTTTAGAGACCGTGCTACTGTTCCATATTTTGACATAATTCGGGAAAACAAACAAAACAAACAAGCAACCGACGCAGTTCATATACGTAACACCTGTCGACACCTATTCCTCCAATACAAGAGTAGCAATGAGGTGGCTCACGGTGGCTCAAGATATTGGAGAGACTTAGGACTTTCAGGATGTGGGATAAACGTGACGGCAAATATAACATAGACAGACTGTGTGAGGGAGGGAGCACTCTAGAGTGAGGCTTCTCCTCTGTCATAAAACCGGAAATGCTCAAATTCAGCGAGTAAGTATCTGAGGCAATATTTAAAATTATTTTTAAAAAAGCTAATAAAAATAAACTGCCCTACGAGTTATCTGTCTTCATTCTACGGTGACCCTGTGTTTGGCTTTGTGGTGTTCCCGAAATTGACATTTTGTCTTTTATTATGATTTGTTTTAATTTTCGAAGGCTGTACAGACCTTTCATGTGGCAGTCGGTGGAGTCGTGCATTTGTAAGTCACTGCGTTCGGTCTGGTCGTTTACGGTTGCTATGGTCGTCACAGTCAATTAATTATCAGTACCATATGTTAGTTTGATGTTTATATAAATATTTTTATATTTATATAAAATTTTAAAAAAATACAACATTTTTGTTACGTTTAATGCCTGCATCCTCAAAAGATAAGTAAGGAATAAGCAGGAATATCACAATCACCCAGTGGACATAGTTCAGGTTACGACGCAATGGCGCCCTCGAGTGGTAATTATGGAGAACTAACTTTGAACAGCAGACATTTATCGTTGTCTACCCTTTTCAGATATTTCAGTACCGAGGACACTGTTTTCTTTGTTTGTTTTTAGGACAATGTCACGGAACAGGCAAATATAACATTCAAATAATCAAAAATTACTTTTGTTACATTTAAATGTATATTTAAATATATTTAAATGATAGTACACATTCATCGTTATTTACAATAATGTTAAAAAGTGCAAAATCAACAAATTATCATTGTGTTGACCAATATATATTAGAAAAGAGACTCGGTGTTTGTTGAATTTATGTATATTTATATGAATACATGCTGGTAATGTAAAGAATGTACAGATGCTATACAACATTACAAACCAAATAAAATAGATAATAAAGCCTCCACTTTCATCATGTTCTTAGTAGATTCCTAAATAACTATAATTGATAGATTGATAGATACTGAATAATAAACCAGCTCCAGATTAAACTCTGATCAGTGACATTGATGTGTTTGTTATTTTAAATCGATTCAACAATTCATTTTTATTAAAGGGCTCAGGGCTGATAGATATTCCAACTCTTGTCATCATAATCTCAATTTGGTCATAATTTAATCGCATCGCTCTGTGAATGTTTTCTTCTCTTACTCATTATAAATTTCCCAAGAGCCATAAAAGGAATAGCTAGACAGGGTATCCCTGCTAAAACAAAAACAACCACATAGACCCAGGCTGGATGAGGCTTGTCCATAAGTGTAGGGAAATTCTCCTGTGGAGACAGAGAAAATCAATGTAAGTAACCTTTGGAGTCTACGATGAATTACAACATGTTCTGTACAAAACAAAAAACTACACCACCACCATATTTACCGATTCCGGATCCCAAACTTTGTAAAGAAGCTTCTCAGAAACTTCAGTGACGAGGTAAAAGATTAAGATGAAGAGCATGATGAGTGGACTGATGACTCTCCAGGTCGCCTGCCAGAAGATGTTAGGTTTGTGTCCAATCATGAATTTAATGTCACTGTTGAACCTATGAGGAGAGTGAGGAACTTAGACCAAATGATCAAAAACATCTCCTGTATCTAAAAAGTCAAGGATTAAAATGGTCTTTTTAAAAAAAATATTGTTGAATAAAGAGGGACGAAGAGAGCATGTTGAGTGCACCATGGGAGTTCCCTCAGCAGTGTAGACCTACTGTATTAATTTAGGTTAGTATCAATTCTTAAGGAAATACTTGGCTGTGGAGAATTACAGTACAGAAACAGGAAAATTACAGTAATCCTGTATTGATGTAATTAAACGCATTTGCAGTAACGAATTGTCTCCTTAATATGAGCGCTGGGGTTATTACCTGTCTATTCCATATATGTAAACCACTGAGAACATTTCACAGAAAGCAACGACCAGCAGTGGGATGGATCCTCCATAGGTGTCAAACAGTGACAGCCAATGGTTTCCTGAGCCTTGGACAAAAACCAGGCCAATCAGACAGCACGCAAGACAAGTTATACCTGAAGGGGAGACATGAACATAGATGACAAGTGTCACATTCAGTGCAGTGAAGAAGATTGTTGTAGATTATTAGGAGACAGTTGGTGAAGACTCACCATTCGTGGCCTCTTTTGGCCAGCTCTTAGGGAAAACTTTGAGGTCTTGCAGTGGCATCAGCACTCCCTCGATGTTACCAAACATAGAGGACAGTCCCAGGCAGAAGAGCATGATGAAGAAGAGAACGGACCAAATTGGAGACAGGGGCATCTGTGTGATAGCCTCGGTGAAGACAATGAAGGCTAAACCGGTTCCTTCCACTCCCTAGGTCCAAACATACAACAACTCAGGGTTAGTGCTGGGTTTATAGCAATACAAAATTAAAATGAAGGTTTATTTATTTATTAATCAACTTTTTGGGACAGAAAGGCAACCTGTTTTTGTTCATGACCAATCAAAATGTAGGAGTTATAAATACAGAAAATGTTCAAATAAAATACACAAAACTAAAAGTGTAATTTTGTTCTCCTCTCTTAGTTTTCATGTTGCTCAATAGATATGGCTTCATTTTAGTCGGTAGTGGTATCTTGAGTGAGTTGGTATTTTAAGCTTGAGGTGCTTCAATGAAACAAAAAACAACAAAAAAGCCCGCAATGTGTTTAAACAGCACTTCTGTACGCTTTATAAAAAGAACTAAAGCTAATATTTTGGAACAATCAGATCAGCCGAACTCTTACCTCACTGAGGAAAGTATCCAAGTTACAGATTTTCAGAGGTAACCCTTGAATGATTTCAGGATTGGTTTCATTCAGACTTCGAAGAACCTGTTCATAGTTGCTCTCAGTGATGTTGCCCTCAGGCAGTTCAAACACATTAAGTAAAGTTAGGATGTTTCTGAAAAACCCAAATACATTTGTTGTCAATAAAAATATTTAACTTCACTATATATATGTTTTTTTTTAAATATTAATAAAGCAAAATAAAGTACTCAGAAAAACAGCTGTCAAATCTCTCTGTGGCTCTGAAGCCAATAACAGTGTAAATGACAGTGGCAGAGTAGACTGAGGTGAAGCCATTGATGATGGAGATGATGACGGCGTCCTGTTCACAGTTGTTACTGAGGAAAGAAAAAGTACTTTTTGTTTTACTTCAGGCTCAGTGAATGCTTGGCTGTAATTAGAAACAACAGCTGCTGTGAACCTACTGCACTGAGTTGTAGCTGGAGAAGGAGATGAGACCACCGAACGCCAGAGAGAAGGAGTAGAAGACCTGAGCGCCGGCATCAAGCCATGTGGTCGGATTGGCCAACTCTGCTACCTGGAGTGTTAGGTGTTAGGAAATATATAGAGTGGAAACACATTGCTTTAATGTCATAGCCGCTACGTGACATTTTATGAGGAAACATTCAGTAATGGGAGTCAAAGTCCTCGTCGGTTCATATCACACTCGGCCAATAAATCTGGTGTTGACATTCCTACACGTGGGTCACTTCAATAGTGATAAGGTCATTTAGAGGGAGATGATGAGCTCCAACACAGACACTTGTTTGATGTGGCAATAAAAAATTATCTTCATGATAATCAGGGAGAAATAAATATGAGTGAAATATAAGTGACAGATTGGTTTCTACAGAAAGCGATGATACTGCAGTGATGGAAGGGTGGAGATTAGGAGGAGGGGTTCTAAATGCTGCTGCATATTATACTACACTAGTGAATTATTATTGACGTTCCATAAAAAACATAAACAAATAATATCAGACCTGTTCATATCAGTGTTTTAGTGTTAACACCTTTTTAATTTAGGCCCACTGTTGACTTAGTATAGCCCCCATGTGCATTTACTGCAAAGTTTAAGTTTACTGCAATCATAGTTTATTGCAGCGATCACCAACTGGTGGCCCGTCGGGCTGAATGTGGCCCGCCCAGTCATCTAATCTGACCTGCGACTGGGTTCCAAAATGAACACCAAATAATAATGTTAGACAAAAATATGATTTTTATTTCGTTTTATTTGAGTGTCTGAGCCCAAGGTGTCTGTCTGGAAAAATTCTGGCTCACCGTGAAAAATAGTCAGTGACCCCTGGTCTATTGCTACAGTACTGCACTTTAACAACCTCGCCCGGAGTTCTTGTTTTTATTTATTTATTTATTTATGCACTATCAAGACATTTTGCGTTGTTTCCCAGATCCTTGTTCACTCGCTTTAGTCTCACTGTACTGCTAGTTTTACAATGACGAACGTCATGCAACAAAACAGTTATTCTATTTTGTTGCATTTATTTTTTTCTGATGTTTTTGTGCCATTTAAGTTAATAATTCTAAGCAAAAAGCTGTATCATTTGAGATAAAATACATGAAGAAATACAAAAGAAAATATCATTGGAATGTACTTACATCCGGTGTGAAGAGAAACCTAAGTCCGTTCAAAGAACCTTTCAGAGTCAGTCCTCTGATCAGAAAGATGGTCAGGACCACGTAGGGAAGGGTTGAAGTCACATACACCGCCTTGAGAAATACATTTATGTCTTTATGGTTGTAAGAGAACAAATAAATATTAAAGTTATACATTCAGGAGTACTTATCTGCACCTTCCCGGTGGTTTCAATCCCACGAATGATGCAGATGTAGAGCACGGACCAGGCACAGATGTGGCTCAGCAGTATCCACCACTGCAGACCACCAGACTCCTCAATGGATGGTGTTGTGTTCAAGGTCTCCCTGTACCAGAAGTAGTCCACAGGTGTGCTCCTCTCACACTCTGAGACCAGCACTGACACAAGTCACAGACTTGGAGTGTAAATGATCACAGTACTCCTTCACAGACTACTTCAGTACTTCGATGTGCCACTGTACCTGTTTGGTTGCCATTCATTGTCTGGGGACACTGGCTCCAGGGCAGAGGCTCTTGAAATGAGTTGAAGAAATACCACATAATCCAGGCCAGGATGGTGTTGTAGTACAGACTGATGGTCAGAGATACACACATGGATGCAATACCTGCAAATACAAATTAAAAGATATTTCTAAGTGAAATACATTCCTTAAATACCGTTACTCGACACAGAGGTATTTCTCACCAATGCCAGTCAAACAAGGATGGATTGTTGCCCATGCTCCCAAACCTGCTTTCCTCAACCGCTGTCCAAGAGCAAACTCCAGATGTAAAAGTGGAATTCCTTCCAGAACAAGCAGGATCAAGAACGGGATCATAAATGCACCTGAGGAGAATGACAGGAAGGTTAATGGAGGCATGAAGTGACAATAAAAAACACATTAACACAACGTTGAACACTAAACAGAACTCAAACAAATCTGAGGACTCAAATCAGACTCATGCCAAAAGAAAAACATATAATTATCTCTTCAAGAGCCTTACATGGGTTTTCTTATTCAAAGAAATCATGTACTATGTGTATATAGTCTTTCAATGGAGGACACATTTTTGTGTTTCTGAAAATAAAGTTTTCTTCTTTAAGACTTTAAAATTAGTGACACAATTTGTTTTTGAGTGGAAAAACACGAATAAAACAATAATATATGTCTGAGAACCTTTTGACTCCCGTATCTTAATTCAATTTCTTTGAAATTTCTAGATCATATATTATATATATATATTATATTATATTTCTATAAAGATCTAAAATACACAATATCCATAATGACAGAGTTAACATTGAAATCAATAAAACAACATTTACAAGGAAATGCCAGTTAAGTATTGATAGGTTAGTGATCATGATGCAGTCCAGGCAAGTGTAGTAAAATACAGTCCTTTGACTTCAACATTTTACTGCACTTCTTTAAGAGAATATAAAACTGTCACTCAGTGGTCCAAGGACACTGTCCATTTTCTCTTATTCTCACTGATCTCACTACACAGGTGGACTTTTTTTAACTGTCAAGTAATGACCAACATAATAAGTCAATAATTATCCTCAACCAAAAATGTTGTAAATTGTATTGAATGATGACACAGGTCCAAACACTTTGCTGCTGCTGTCACTCACCTCCTCCGTGACTTTGGCAGAGATAGGGGAAGCGCCAGACGTTCCCCAGTCCCACACAGAAGCCCACGCAGGTCAACATGTACTGAGCCTTGTTGTCCCACTTGGGCCGGTCTCCAGCCTCCTCCACCTCCAGATTGTCCAGCTGCTCGTGGGTCAGTAACCTGTCATCCAGGCCCGGGTTTGGAACTTTTAGCTTCATGATCAGTGGAACTCAGGGTCCGTCCCTACTGACCTCGCTGCAGTGACAACTGAAGCTGACTCTGTGAGACCTGCTGTGATAAAGTGACTAGGTGGTGGAGTCAGAACTGTAGCAGGACGTGTGCCGCCTTGAAATCCTGAGACCAGCAAAAATACATTACAGTTTAAAGCTATCTTATCTGTTATCTGCCTAGGGGTTACTGTTCTCAGTTTTACGCAGGTGACAAAGCAGCATTTTTATAGAACTTGGGGCAGTAACAGCTTCATGAGTTATGTAAGAGATGTGGGTATATATTTGATGTCAGACGCCATGATTAAAACCTGATTATTTTAAATGTTAAACAAATACCTCGCATAACCACAAGCAAAAAGGCTCTGTTTTATCAGCCACCTTGAGTTTCTGCGTAGTCTTTTGAGATTAGTCAGCAATTCTAACATTTACCAATAAAGCACTAATAAGTAATGTGCCAAAGGCCATAAAGAAGCAACGATAAGTCGATCAATGTGATGCTTAAAAAGTTTTTCACAGGCACATGGAGAATTCAATAGTTTTAAAAAGGTTTATCAACAAAAACAAGTAACAGCCACAAAAATATTCATATCAACCATTGCTGACCTACGTACAGATTGTATGGTGTTTAATATAACATAATTAAATTAAAGTAACATTTAGTCATATTTTTCATATTTAATTAGCAGAACGGGGTGAGCATTTTGGAAATGCTGAGGATCAACTTTGATCGGGAGTTCTTTCTTCCTACACTTTTTAAAACATGGATTTATACAATTAAATAAACGTCTTCAATTAGATGTACCTTTACTTTCCCGCCACTGGAGGCCGCTGGTTAGAAAAAAGCGCAAATTACATTTAAAATTGCACATTGAAGCGTTGTTGTAGAATTTCCATTATTACTGTGTATCAATATCTAATCATGTTTAATCCAATAAACAGCTCTACATCACCTTTATAACCGCTGGTTTCTACAGGCGACTCCCTTCATTATCAGCATCAGTTAAGATGTCGAGGAAGTGGCTGACAAGGTTGACAAGGTTGTGCCTGATAAACAAACAGTTTCTGTGTTTACCACATAAGAAATAGGTTGTCAACAGAGAAGAAAAAGTGGCATCGTTGTTTCCTGATCCAAGAGGCTGATGAAAGTTTACCATGGAACAGTGAGGGTAGAGGTCAGGCAGTCGAGATATGAGGAGACAGATATGAGTACACAGCACATAGCATTTCCATAGAGTTTGTTATCATAAGGTAATATATATGACTTAATGACCCTTTTATTCTGGTCTCATGGAGCAGTAAATACTGAGGAGAGTTGTATTTATTTTTCTTTGGAACACTATAACCCTCACAATATCAAAAAAGTAAATTTCAGTCTTTTCCAAGTTTAAATTATAGATAAAAATACCTATAGGAATAAGTGTTAGTCGGAACAGTTCAGTGTATCGAGCTCCGTAATTATACAGTATAATTATTATGAAAATAGGGTAAACTGATCATTATTTCATCAGAATTTGACATGTGATGACAATTAACTCCAAACATTACATACGCTACATTATTAAATATTATTACTATACATTGATTATAAAGAGCATGTTGTATTGATTATACACATTTAGTCAGCTATTAAGTCAAATAAGATTAAATGTCTTGTTTTAAAATCAAGGGGGGAGGGAATTGAAAAAGGCCACCCAGTTACTAATCTGTAGACATGTGATTTTTCTGGGTTAGTTTTCTTTCATTTCTTTATGTAAGTTTTAAAGATTACATCCTCTGTTTTCACATATTTCCATACAGTTCCACTAGATACGTTTAGAAAAGAATCCACCTTGGATACTTATCATTTGTATTGCATGTGTGTACTTATACCCCTCATTATAAACTGTTTTTTTTAAACTAACTATAGGATGAAAATATATTATCTAATGAGCTAAATAAATATTAAATAAATGACTCTCGTTGAAACAATATTATGACAATTTCCACTTATTTCAACACTACTACAGCTGCTACTGATGCTAATGCTACTAGCACTACCGCTACTACCACTGCTACTACAGTAATCATTTTAGTTTATGTCTTCAGCTTTATTGTTCATACTGTCGGCAGCAGCAGCTTCATTTTTCTTAGAGTATCTTTCCTTAATGAAAGCTTTAATCTCATTTATTCTCATTTGTATGTGTGCATTTATTTCGCAGGATGAAATACAAACACTGTCAACCAGATGAAACGAACGCAGGACAATATCCTCGAGAAACATATTAACGTCCACGTGTCTCTGTTGATCATTTAAAAGAGACTACAGTTCATTTCCTGTCTTGTTGTTGTGAATTACAAAATGCAGTAGAGCCATGATTAATGCCTCTGCTGTGGATAATATGCAATAGCACACAATAAAATTCCATAAAGGTCACACTGATTTTTTTTTTCTGTTAAGTTGCGTACAAGCCATTGACACTAGTTTATTTGTTTGTGGAGTTAATGTGTCATCATCTGGATGTTTTCGTTTTACATCAATCATATAGAGTTACACCGTCCACTTGTTTTTTTTCTCTTGGGTTATTATTTGTTGACGCTCCGAGTGATGCAGTGTTGCGTGATGTGTGTTTTGCATCAGTGGTGACAGGCAGGACTGTGGTTGTACTTGTGTGTGATGGAGCGTCCGTATGGTGCTTATATATGTGTATGGTTGGGTTTACTTTTTGTTTAGGTTTTGAGTGGTCCTTTCTGTGACGTGTGTGTGTTTGTGTCTGTGTGTGTGTGCGCACATTGTCACGTGCTTTAGAATATGCTGGCCACCATTGTTGCTGTGCCACCTGTTTTGCTTTCTGGCACTTTTAAACAATGCAGCACCTGAACACTGGGCTACTATCACAGCTCTGACACCGCAGTTGACTTCAAGCTCTGAGGACCGACTATATTCCAATGTAAGGTACGAGGGCTGAGGAAGAACACTGAGGAAGAACTTTAAGGACCACCAAAACAGAGGTGACAATTTAACTTGAATTATTAGCATTGTAATTATATAAAAATCAAATAAAGTAAAATTTACCATTTTATTATACTAAAGACTTTAGGCAAAATATGTTGTTAATATGTTGGATTTATTTATAAAGTAAGACATGTTGCCAATATTATTGGACAGAAATGTGTTTTATTGAGAAATTATTGAATTTCTGGCTACAAAAAAGACAACATATTAAATAAATTATAACCAGGCTGCTATCTTGTATTTATTTTTTGTGTAATATTTCAATGACCTTTTACATGTAGTGAACTATGTGATGTGTGAAATTTGATATTTGGATGGTGTGTGTGTCTTTTTTAGGAAATGTCCCAGAGAGCTGTTGCCTCCCACAGTGATGGGGCTGTGGTTACGTTTGAGTCTGACGACAAAACTGATGAAAGAACTAAAAAAGGCAGGAGTTTAGCAGGTGAACATGGCTTTCTTTCATATTGAATCCCTACAGTTTCCTCCTGTGTTTATAATTAATATAAATTCTCATTAACAAAAAAATTCATGCAATTGAACGCATTTGCCTTTTAGGTTCAGCTCTCATCTACATTAAAGGTCCCAAGTTTCTCATCTATGTCAGTGGAGCGTTATCAATGTGGGTGAGTATCAGTTAGAAGAATATAGAATAATAACAGTAAACTCATAGTCGGTTATTTAACCTACATCAACTGTAAGGTAGTGAGGTGACGGTGGACATATTCTTCTGAAATGACTCATAAATTCAACCTTTCATGTTGTATACAGGGTGACCGCATGTGGCATTTTGCCATCTCAGTGTTCCTGATTGAGCTGTACGGTCGAAACCTGCTGCTGACCGCTGTGTTTGGATTGGTGGTCGCAGGTTCAGTGCTGCTGCTGGGAGCTTTGATTGGTGACTGGGTAGATCGCAATCCCAGGAATAAAGGTATTCACAGCTAGTGGTTTAACTATATGTGGGAGTGTTGATTAATCGTGAATAATTTATTTATGAATTCATGTGTGACCATTTTAATCTTTTGACGGCTCTAATTTTAACATTTCATTATGCAGTAAATTAAGGAAAATAAATATAGTACAGTGCACTGTATTATTGGTTCCATCATGGTGGTAAATTGTGCACATCAAAATCTCTAATTGTCTGACTTGCTATGATCAAGCTACTGATCAAATAAAGGTTAACAGCCACTAATGAATTGTTGTCAGTGTGCTCAGTTTATGAGTAAATGTCATTGTTATGAGAGACTTAAAGCTGTTTCTGTCTCCTGTTTTAGTTGCACATGCGTCTCTTTTCATTCAGAACATCTCAGTGACAGTGTGTAGCGTTGTGCTCATGTTAGTGTTCTCCTACAAGCAACAGATCGAAGAAATCTGGGATGGGTGGCTCACTGTGAGTAGTTGTGCCAACATGTTAATCTGAACTCACCATGACTCTCGGTGTTGTCCTGCTCCTCCGTGCCGTCATAGTAACACGTTGCATCACCAAACTCCCATTAGGTGGTTTGTTACACGGTGGTGATCGTCCTGGCAGATGTGGCAAACCTTGCAAGCACGGCGCTGACCATCGCCATTCAGAGAGACTGGATTGTGGTCATAACAGGCTACAACAGCAGACATCTCGCAGGTGACCACCTCGGTTCTGTCTTAGTGAAGGTTCTGGAATAATACAGCTCATTAACTCTTCTCTCTCTCTTTAAACTTTACAACAGGGATGAATGCCACCATGAGGCGAATAGATCAGGTGACCAACATCCTGGCCCCACTAGCAGTGGGACAGGTCATGACCCTGGCCTCTAATGTAGTAGGCTGTGGCTTTATCCTGGGCTGGAACCTGGTCTCTCTCATTGTGGAGTTCTTGTTCCTGACACGGGTGTACCGCCTGGTCCCTGCTCTTTCGGTCAAACCACCGCTGGTGGAGGAGAATCAGATGTATCTTCAGAGGAGAACACCACGTGGTATGGAGCAACTTTAACTTTAACAGTTTATAATACCTGCCAGAATGGCATACACTATCCTACTAAAGAAACTCTCAGTTCCGTGAAATGAAAAGTGTTTCACGGTCACTATTTCTCTCTCAATGTTCAACATAATCTTGTATATGACAGGGTGTAGAACACGATTAAACCAATTAATGTGTCCTGTACGAAACTCTATTCTTCCATCAGGCGATGATAGGTACGACCAAACGCCACCTGCGGCAGAAAGAGATCACAACACAACCCTGCAGCTCAAAAAGCCGCTGCTGTGTTTGCAGAGGTTTCGTCGGTTACTCAGGACCTGTAAAGAAGGCTGGAAGGCCTACTATCGCCAGCCGGTCTTCTTGGCAGGAATGGGCCTGGCTTTTCTCTACACAACAGTACTGGGCTTCGACTGCATCACAACGGGCTACGCCTACACCCAGGGTGTGAGTGGCTCTCTCCTGAGCCTCCTCATGGGTGTGTCGGCCATCACTGGACTGTTGGGCACAGTTATGTTCACCAGACTCAGGAAGACCTTCGGCCTGGTTAACACAGGAATCATCTCCAGCTGCCTCCACCTCAGCTGTTTGATGCTGTGCGTGAGCTCCGTGTTTGCCCCAGGCAGCCCCGTAGATCTCAGCTTACTGATGCCCTTCATTACCTCCAACTCTTCCGTGTTTGGAGAGACAATAAGCCAAAGGCAAAAACACACGTATTTACTGAGAGGAGGCAGTAACCAACCGCTGCTCCCGGACCGCTCCTCCATTCACTGGACCAACAACACTGTGCTGCTTGACAACATCCCCTCTGGTACGGAGCCAGAGTCCTACATCTCCATCATTCTGTTGTTTTCGGGCGTCATCACTGCGCGCATTGGTAAGTAGATGTGGACATTGACTCAGTCAACGTTTACGTTTTAAGACTTTAATAAGGAAGCCATTTCTTGTTCAGGTCTCTGGTCCTTTGACCTGACAGTGACCCAGCTCCTGCAGGAGAACATCTGCGAATCAGAGAGAGGAGTGGTAAATGGAGTGCAGAGCTCCATGAACTACCTGATGGATCTACTTCACTTCATCATGGTCATCTCTGCTCCACAGCCACACCATTTTGGCATCCTTGTTATCATCTCTGTACTATTCATCACCGCTGGACACACCATGTACTTTCTCTACTCTCACCGAGACAAGAGAAAACTTCGCCCTGACACATAAGGTGTTTAAAGATGCGATGGTTCCAAATCCTGACTCTACATTGGTCCCATCAAGAGGACGTCTACCTCCTGTTTCTTGCTTCTGATGAAGAAGAAGAATTCTGCTGATGCCACCGGTCATTTCCTGTCTCGGGGAAAGAATTCTGCTGATGCCACCGGTCATTTCAGTACCACACATGTCCTATGTTGACTCTTCTCTACAGCTGAACTGTTTTCCAGAAAATACAGCAGTATAGAAAAGGTGTTTTTTTTCATGGCTGTTCCACAAGAGAAAATAGTAAAGGTGAAGGTTCTAACACTATTCTACTACAGCAGGACTCTCTGTGATACGAGGATGAGAGAGAAATCATTTCTCAAGAACGTCTATGTCAACAAGTTTTTAAGTGTTGCTTAAAAACTTGTGTTGTTAGAAAAACGAGTCAGTGTCACATGTTAATATGATCCATCCACAAAGTAATATTCCAGGATTGCCAAAAGGAAGTTAAAGGGAGCCTGTCGTAACATTCTTAGGTTAAACTAAGTCAACCCTGTTGAAATGGCAAAGGTATTTTCTTATCCTGGCTTGTTTCTCTGTGATCAAATCATCCTCCATGTAAACCTGGCTTATGGGTAACAAGTTTGTTAAATATCAATAAAGCCAATATTTCATTCAAAATATCCAACTGTTTATTATATTATCTCTTTGTGTATTTTTTCCCTAAACCAACTATGCAGCACAGCAGAGAAGATTACATGTAATGGCTCTTTTGGCCAGTAGAGGTCAATATTATATTATAGGCCTGTAGTAATGCCTGGTAGCCCAGTAATTCTATTTTTTCTGTTTTAACCTTGAATACTTTACCATTCTTACACTAAGATTGTATTATCATCAACAGTCAGTACGATTACAAATGGTGCTGATCTCCAGAGTGACAACAAGTCACTTAACATTTTGCTAAAACATATATATATAAAAGTCATGTTCCAAACAGACTTGTTCTTTGTGCACAGATTCTGACCATGACTGACTCTCTTCTGTGAAAGGATAGTGTTAAAGGCTCAATGGAATTCTCTGACTATAGTTTTAAGTGGTTGTCATGGTTTTCACTTCAGATGGTTCAGGTCATATCAGAGAATGCTCATTAACAAATGTTAAGACAAACTCACTTCATAATGTTCTTCAGAAAGTGGGTCACCTTACAGCTGGGCTTGTCCTTTGTCTTGACGTTCACTAGAAGGGAACAGGAAGGAAGAGGTTGTTTTTAGATCGGGGCCAATACTCTGATGAATTTCCTTCCTTTAGTGTAGAGCTAAGAGCTGGCTTAAAAACATTGTGTTACACTATTTTAAATGTTAATCAATTTTTATATTAAACTGGCCACTCACTGTGAATACAACTATATGTAAGTGTACGCAGACAAAATGTGGATGAGTTGTAGGTCCTACAGATGGTTGAAGCAAGGGAGGTGAGATATCAGAGATGTTCACAAATCCAGGTCCACACTCAAGTCTTTGAGGGCCAATACCAAGTCAGGGTCCAAGTCACAGTTCAGAGTCATTTTATTTTTGATAAGATGACCTGGGTGACTGAGAACTTACATAGTTAATAAGTGCAACATGAATCAGTTCTCAGACCTGGATAGGTGCTAGACAAAGACAGATTATCTCCAGTGGATGACCCCTGAAAGGAGCAACTGAAGGAATGATGTTCATCTGGCTTCAGGTCTTTCATCAGCTTTTCAAAAAGATTTAGTGACTTAGAGGTCAGTAACAGTCACTTCAGCCGTCTGGAGCTACAAAGGTAGAAAGTAGTGTGAGTGTTCCTTGAAGAGCCTGCAGGTTTAGAAATACTGTGAAAAGGATCTCTCGTCTTGTATACAGTAAAAGCATCAAAGCATTTGACGTTCAAATTCAATAACCTGAGGAGGAACGATGGAACAACGACACATACTGTAGAGAGGGGAGACCTTTCCTCATCCCGCACTTTGCTGTATCAGCAGGGTTGGAACAGCTGCACGATTGGACAGCGTCGCTGCGACCCAGTCAAGCATCACCACTGCTGACAGGGGAGGAAAAAGATATAATGATAATAGGTGAAGCGCTCACAAGTAGAACAGATGTCCTCCTGTAAACCCTAATCAATACATGCTGGAACAAACTGGACCACACTTTAAATAATAAGAGGAGTTTCATCTCATCAATTTGTTTGGCTCAAAGACCATTCCAGAGAAGCTATACTGCAGATGTGAGGTTCATGTCAGGCAAGGCAATGACTCCAACAGTACACAGTAATACATTTCAGAATGTAATTTGACATTCAATCTGCCAATCCCTTAGTCTATATATTCCAGTTATTACGTAAATCATCCATGACGTCCATCTATTGTACTCCTACTAGAAATACATCCGTTCTGTTGCGCTCCTGTGACCTTACACTTATGTTCACGTAATACCGTGGGTCTCCACCCTGCTCAACAAGTGTTTGACCCTCCAGTGTTCAGCATCCCGCCCTGTCCTGAATCTTGACCCTCTCCTGCTATCGGGAGATTTGAAACTTCCTTTTTGGGACTGTCTGGCTCTCCAGATGTTTCCTGAACTCCGTCGCGTTCATAACTCACTCCCCTCCCCGTTAGTGAAAGGGCAACAAGAGGACAGGGAGAGAACAAGTGTGTCATTAACCAAATGATACCTGGAGTCACACTGCAACAGAGCTGAACAGAGCGCAGCTGACATCCACTCTGGAAGCCGGGACAGATGTAACTCTAGGTCACACGGACACCAAAGGAAGAGAGACACATTGAACCTACTTTGGAGCTGCTCACCTTTTCTACATATTTAGAGTGAAAGCTCTGAGTCCAGTAATTTAGTTTTTGCAGCTGTCTCTGTGGGACAGACAGCCATGTCGTGGGACTGTGGTCTGCGGTACATGTTCTCTGTGGCTCCTGCAGTGCAGCAACCAGGGGGCATGTGCATCCTGCCTGACAAGGAGGACCTGTCCAGACTGGAGATGGTCCAGAGACTGGCCAAGGATGGCTGCCGCTTCCTCCAAAACCACAGCAAAAGTCCGGAGAAGACGAGCGAGGTGAGAACCAAAAACAATCAAAACAGGAAAATCTTTTTAACGCAACTAAATTTGGACAAGTAGGGTCAGAGAGAAGTGCTGAGATAGAGAGTGGAACAGAGGAACACATCAGTCATGCTGCTTATCAGATTGTCCTCTACATATCATTATAAACCCCTCTGGGTCAGTCCACGTTCTACTTGCATATTCAGTTACGGGTCATTACATTGTCTATTATACCCTGGGCTACAATGTGATGTTTTGAACTGTTTTTCTCTGAGCAGCCTCTGCTGCAGCCCCGTCGGTGTTGCATCCATCAAACTGATGTTTTATTTGTTTTTGTGGCCTCCATACATTATACAGTATAATATCTTTGCCTTCTCCGACAATGACTGCTGTAAATTAGGTTTTGTCCACACAAGAAACGGCTTTCTTCAATCACATGCATATAGAATGCTGTAAATGAGTCTCCACTGATCTGAGAATTGTTACAGCAAAGATCAGGGAGGCACTGAGCTGCGCAGTACTGCATAGATACTCAATATCAATCTGAATACCTTTATAGCAAAAGGGAGTCCCCCCCCCCCCCCATCATGTGTATAAAGAATAAATATCAGGGACACAGAGCAAATTGCTCTTAGAATATCTGAATTCATATCCAGATAAAGGGGTTTTGAACATAACTGTGAAATATTTAAATACATTTTGCAAAACCTGTCTAGACAGGGAGATATCAACAGGTTACCTAAAATTTAACTCACATGTACTGGGAATAGAATTTATTATGAACCTATTATACATGAGTCTCCAAAGTGATAGCTTAACAGGAGTCAAAATCATACTGTACAGAAAGTCAACAATATTTATTCAGTTTTCCTGGAGAGATCGCTAAAAGTGTTAGCCTGAATACATACTTGAATTATCTGAACTTTTCCTGGCAAAAAAATGCCATTAACCTCCCAGTAAAGAAGGTTGAACTTAAAACCGAAGTGCACACTCTTTTTTAAACATTACATCACCAGCTCGCTGGCTGCAGAGGTGACCTCTGATTGGCTGGCCTGAGGCGGGCTCAGCTTCTCCCTTCCTTCCAGATGTATCTGCAACAATGGCAGGAAAAGTTCACATCAGTGGCCAGACCACCATGCCAGGACATTGTATGTTCTCAGGGTGGTTTCTGTCCATGACCTTTTTCGATGAACTGGAGATCAGATCTCCTCGTCCACATTGATATTTCATATAAAGACTCATTGTCAGCATTTGCTTAATGGTTGTGTTTGGAGTAAACCTCTTTGTGTGTGTAATCCTAATGGAAATGCCCAACACTATGTGGTGCACTTGGATTTAGTAACTGATATTATGTAGAAACATGACAATTATGTAAAGTTATCTCATATTATTTTACATCGTACAAGGGCTTTAGGTCATACTAACATCCAGCTACAATGAAAATACTGTACCACATGTAATCCTGATCAGACATCTGAACCCTGGCATCAAAGAGATTAGAATCAGTGCAATCTACAAAGCTGCTGGAAACACAGATGATTCAGTCACACACACACACACACACACACAGAGAGAGAGATAATGGCTTCATGTTTACCAAAAGTCCCTGGAGCTGAGAGATCTGTAATGTTATATAATATATTTAATTAAATAAAGTAATAAATATTAGTTTTAAATATATTTAAAATTGAGAATATTTAAACAGAAAGTTAAATATAATAATGAAGATTCAATTCATTTTACCTGAACTAGAATCTGCAATTGGGTAATGCAGTTTAATCCGAGGCATTTTTTTTTTTTTTTTACCAGATCATATCAACAGACACCTACTCTCTGATTATTGTTTAGTGACTGTGGAAATGTGAGTGGAGTTTGTTATTATTGATAAAACATCTGAGCTGTCAAAAAGTCACAGAAACACAATTCACACAAATGTTTTAGCAGAATCAGACTACACGTTTTGTTTTTGCTGAAACTCTGAAAAAACAAATATTAGCCCCTGGATCAATAGTAGCTTCACCACCCAAACCATGACAACTAATGCACTCCATTCAACCACAGATTCCATCTGCATCTTTTTTTCCTTATTAGAATATTTTTTCAACCTGGACTCAACTGAGCTGTGAGCCGATATCCATCAACTTTGAGTCCACCTATGACTAGCTTGAGTCCAATGAAATCAAGGTTGATTGATCCATAGCTTTCTCTATTCATACTATTGATACTGTATAAAAAGGCTGATTTGATGTAACAAATATTGGTGACAGTCACCAACAGTCCTATTATTTCTCTTCTTTTCATTATGATCAACACTGTTCCTCAGGAGGAATTTAAAGCAGGTCTGTGTCCTGTCAGGCCTGACATCCTCCAGTGGTCCATACCATACATACCAGACCTGCAGCAGACACAGACATACTGTACATGAAACATGACACAGACCCTGAATACAGAAAGTCTGTCTGTGGTCGGTGGAATGCAAGGGACAGATAAGTAGTGTTTACTCTACGGCTGCGGTGTCCATGTTGGGAGGACTCCAGCCGTGGCTATTCTAGTGAGTGGGGGTCACCTTCAGGTTAGGACAGAAACTCCACAGCCCAGTGTGTTCTCATTACGAGCCTGCGTTCTGGAGGCCTGATTGCGTTTTAGTGTCGGGACATGTTAATAACCACGAAACCCTGAACCTGCTGAGCAGCAGAAGCAACCGCATCTGGATCAATAGTTCATTGTTTGGAAAGGTTTGTTTGCAGATTGACCTCCCATTTGTATCCTGAGATACTGGTAATTATAGTGGAAAACCTAAACTCAGGGCCCACCGTTTATGTCACGTCCTGAAGAAGAGATTCCCGTGTCTCCTTGAGTGTTTTTTAAGGAAGCCTGGTAATCAGTGTCCTTTCCTGGGAATGTTGTGGCTCTGAGCCTCTGTCAAGACACAATGACGTGTTAACATCAGGAAATGCGTTGGAAGCAAAAATAATACAAAAACCATTCATGTAACAACCTTTCAATCATTTTTCTTTTTACAGTTTTAGAAAGAAACTACCTTAACAAAACACAGTTATTAATAGTACCTGGGTCTGAGCCTCTGAAAACATCTCAGATATTTACAGATGGTATTGAAATGTGAATATTTTGTGTTTTTGTCAGTTTAAGCCACTCCCGTGTCTTAAACGTTTATTGTTGCACAGATCGCTGATAGGCATTAATGTGCTGTGTAGTCATGCTTAACTGAGGGTCCCCAGTCCGTCTTTGCAATTGGCAATTAGGGCAGAAAACTGCAACCACTTCCAGTCCGTCTGTTGAGCTAATTGCGTGCACAGAGGCTGGTGTAGCGTTGACTGATGGCAGAGGACGAGGGAGGTACGAGGAAGGGGCTGATGCGGATGTGTTTGTGTGCATCACACTGTGAACTCCTCATTATGTCCAATATTTATAAATGAGAGCCTGCGTTATGAGACAGCCGTCTTTTGTACAGCGGGAGTCCAACATGAAGACATTTTGTTTACAATGTTTTATCGACACAGGTTTAACTTAAACGAATGACTTTCTGAATTAGTAAAATAAATATATAAAAATGTGTTTATTCAGCCAGTCTCTTATTGCTTAATCGTGTAAACCAGGGGTGTCAGACTCATTTTGGTCCAGGGGTCACATACAGCCTAATTAGATGTCAAGTGGGCCGGGACCAGTACAATCATAACTTAATTACTACTAGACTGAAAAATATAGTATTTCACTTTAAAGATTATGGCATTGCATGAACATTAGGATTCTATAAAGTCAAACTTGCTTCCATCTGCTGTTCAGTCGGAGTTGCTAGAGTTGGGCCTCTTCCTCTCTGATTAAAACAGTGCTCCCCTCTACTCTGACTAACTTAGTGGATGATTTAGGGAAAGCATGTTATTAAGAATATTTTTTAAATTCATCAGGTGGGCCAGATTAAACTCCCAGGTGGGCCGGTTTAGGCCCACGGGCCCTATGTTTGGCATCCCTGGTGTAAACCAATGTAAAATAACAGGACTATCCTGAGATAGTATTTGAAAAGGTACATAACAATAATGATTTTATCCATTTAACTTCATCACTAAATATACATCACAGCTTTAAAACGCTTGTTATAATTTTACATTTTAGAATGAAAATGAAAATGTCAAGTGCGTGGGATAGTGAATGGCCTCATCAACAACAAGGTGATTTGGTGACGGTGTAAATCTCTGTGTCATCAAGAAGAACAGACGGACGGAGATAATAGCAGATGAGTGACATCACCCTTAACAAGACTTTGTGATCGTCGTAAAACTATGACTTACTGCTACTATAAACCCTCGAGTACTACTGCATCAGGAGTCCAGGCGACTGATCTGAAAACCGACTGTGGGCAGACGTGGCCCATAATTTAACAGGCTCTGGAGGAGATTCTCTAATTAAAATATGTATGAGTCTTTTATGGTAATCTCAGAATGGTTTCCAACGATAAGGACTGAATAAGGATATATGGAAATTCTCTTCCATTTACAGTGCTCTGGCTTTGTGATGGAAATCATTGGTGGGTTTTTTTTGTGCGTATAGTAGAAAATACAAGGGAATCTCCTTGGTAATAACCCCCGCACCCCCCCTCCTCCTTCCTTGTTCTCTCTCCAGCCCCGGAGTGACGAGGCAGTCCGCATTTATCTGAGGGAGAGGGGCCACAATGTGCTGGTTCTCCAGAGAGTGTCATCAGAGTGGCCAGCCCTCCCCGCGTCGACGAGGGGAGGAGGGAGAGAGGAGGCGAGGCACGGGAGGTAAGCTTTTCCACTTCCCTTGCTTCTACACTCACTCCCTCCCTCCCTTCCTCACTAAGTGATCCTCTGCCTCAGAACTCTCCCTCTCATCATTCTCCTTCTCTTCCTCTCTCTCTATGGACCACACACACACACTCTCTGACATGCCTACATCACAACTCCATTCACCTAAATGACTACATTAAATACGTGTTAGTGAGCATGGGTCTGTGAGGTGGAGCCCTGCCGGCTTCCTTTCATTCATCCACTGTAACCCAGGAGCTTGTTCAGCCGTGAACACACTGGCATATCTCAGCGTACCTCAGCATCAGGCAGCGCTGGATCCTCTATCAGCTGCATCAGCTGCTGCTGGATGGATGGCTGAATGGAAGGGTAAAGAGGGCATGGACCAGTAACCAGGGCAACACTTGACAGGGACTCTGCGAGGATGGGATCTCGACCACAGCCCCGAAACCTGTGGCAGGGGGAGGGCAGGCTGCTCCACGCTGCCCTGGTGGAGCAGGAGGAGGATGAGGACGCTGAGGAGGAGTGCAGCAGTGACAGCACCAGCCGGGCAGAGCCGCTGACAATGCCCACCTTTGACGTCCCCTACTTTCGCTACATAGATGATGAGGGTGCAGAAGAGGAGGAAGAGTGGAGCAGCAGTCGCTCGCTGTCATCTATTGAGGAGGACTCGTCCACTGACTCTGTTGTGTCTGACAGGTTCGTGGTGGTCGCAGGGACTCCTGAGAAGATCCTGGAGCACCTACTGAACGACCTGACACTGGACGACAACCAGGGAAAAGAGTCTGGTCAGTAAACAGTATCTGCTGTATCTACTGTATCATGCTGCCATAACCATCACTTGAATATTTATCTTTCAGTTTGCTGCTATTGCTATTTTTTAAAAATATACTGTTGGGAAGCAGAGACCTCCTGTCTAATGTTTTATTTACTTCCTGCCTTCCAAAATACTTTACAGTCTATAGCTGAAGGAGCAGTGTACACACAGAATCACTGGTTCTGTCATCAGCCTTCACTACCAAAATACCAACTCTTATCTTATTGGAGCTTCAAGAAAATACACCATTGACTGTGTGACCAAATCTGATCTAACATCAATGATCAACCAAAACATCTTCCTCCTATCCATGCAAGTCCATGAAAACGTGCCACTGTTGCCAAGGCAGAAAAGAGTCGGTTGCTCGAGCTTTAAATATGGCAGCTGCAGAGTCAGAGACAGGGTGAATAGTTAAATAAAGAAGAAAGTGTATGAAACAGAGAGACTGGAGAGAGGGAGAGACTCACTTAAAGCCTCACTGGGATAAAAGCAGACTGACCCAATACTACAGGTCATGAATCATTCTGATTGGAAACTGAATGGAATTGATCTGAAAGAGCCATTGATCTATAACATTTTAGTAAATGCAAAAGAGAACTCTGCACTGGTTCTGACACACTAGTAAACATCTTTTAGAAATGTTGCAAATACTTACACGGGCATACACTAAAAAAATTCTTACACACTAGTTAACATCTCCTTTTAGAAATGTTGCAATTACTTACACGGGCATACACTAAAAAAATGTGATGAAGAACAAACAGGTTTGGTAAATATCCCTCTACAAAAATGACAGTCCTAGCATGAAGAAATATATCATATATTTTACTTGTTATTAAAACACATCAGACTTTTAGTGTCTTATTGTGGGCTCAAATATGTTGATCTGTTCTTTGTAAAGAAAGTAAAGTGTAAAAGTCATTTTACTCAAGTCTCACACAGTGGGAGGTTTAGTTTTTTCTAAAATGCAGCTTAATTAACAAACTGCTAAGTTCTGTCTCCACAGCATTGATTGGACCATTTTCCTTATTTCCTGTGGGCTCTGTGGACAGTTTGTTGTTGATGAATCCTTCTTCATTAGCTTAACTTGCAATGACTTGCATTGAAGGCAATACTCCATAGGGAGTGTTGGACTCCGGCATGATTCTGACTGATGTCCTGACCAGGAGAATGAACTTTGTCCTGAAGAGGAATTGATTTCTGCTCAGTGATGTTTGACTTCAGCCAGCCTCGGCTGTCTGTGTGTACTGAAGCTACTGCTGCCCAAGTGTCGTGTGTCCTTGGAGGATTGGCTTAGCAGAAACATGATATCACGATGAGATCCTTGCGTTCTTCAAGAGGAGATTTATCTGAGCATCTGTGTATTTGTCATGTCGGCTTGGCGTCCACAGGACGGATCAATCACAAAGATCAGATAGAAACATGACAAATGATCACAGCAGGTTATTGATGCGCTGTTTATGACTTACATGCAGGACGGCACATTAGCAAACCGAATCCATTTCATCATGGCTGCACTTATTCCCATCTTCACTGAGTACACAGCGTTAAGAATACACAGTGGCTTTTTGTCCTTCTGTGAGAGATGGCACTTTTCTCTGTCGAGAGGAAAACTGCAGTTGTGTACGTGCTGGGTCATTCCTCTGCGGGCTACCACTGTGGCTGGCGTTTACAATTGTTCAGTGTTCTGTATTTCCTGTGCCCAATTTCTGAGCGCAGCTATTGATTCTTACTATGCACAGATTCACACTTCATGTTGCCTGGAAGCTCTGGAAGGCATGCAATAGAACATTTGTTGTTGTTTAATGAGAGGAAGTTCCAGCTCCTGGTGCTGATTCACCATGTAAGGAGATATTGATGTTTATTGCATTTAATTAATGTATTAAAAAAACCTGAAAATGGATCCAGACCAATTGTGGTAACAGATCAGATTAGATTTACACAGTGATCAATTTGATCAGTTTTTTTGTGTTTGTTTTGTAATGCTAAACAGACTGGCAGGTTGACTGACATGCACATTGATTTTATGGTAGAATGAAACAGTGGCTCAATGAATCAATTTTTCATTTTCTCTAAAGATTTATTCAGTTACAACTGATTGTGATTCGATGAGTCGTGGTCACGACTGATCCGTATAAATTATTTATTTTACATAGAGGATCAGCACAATTCATCCATAATTTGTTGATCTGGGCTGGACTCAGTCTCAGAAAACCACAACATTGCAGGGTTGAGGAAAAAAATCAGTTTGAGAACATACAACAAATTAAAAATTGATGCTGCTTTCCCAGCTTAAATAAACACCACAGGGAATACTTTGTTGGCTGCTACTCAGTTAAGACAGCTGAACAGAAACACTCAGTGCTTGTCTTTTTTTCTTCATAAGTGCTGTATATAGAGTACACTTCTCAGGGTGGTTGTCCAGTTTGTTGCTGCCTCTCTGTGATAAGATTAAATTGTTCTTTATTTTTCTACTGTCTGTATGTGTACATGTGGGTATTCTCTCATGACCAGTGAGTGATGCACCCAGCTGCTCTTCCTTGGATTAACATAATGAAGTCTGGGAGTCCCGTGGACCAGAACGCACACAAAGGCCCTGTGAAGTCTGTGTGAAATTAAAGGGAAGAATTTACTATTCTGTTTGAGTGTGTCTGAGAGGATGTCAGTCTCTAATACGATTTGGAAACCTCTCACTTTGGCTGTTCTTTGTGTTTGGAAGTTATGGTCCTTTCAATTTGCTTTTGTCCTATTGAATATTTTTTAACTGCTATCATGTCATTTTCAGCTTGACGTTGTCCTTTTTGCATAACTAAATGTTGGAAAGAGGAAGCGAGGTTGTGAGTGCAGTAAGGAGGGTGGGTTACAAGGTTCATGAATTTTTGAAATGTTTTCAAGAATCCCTAGCAACTTTAGTTGTCCTCAAAGATATATTTGAAATCAGCTTTAACACAATGTGTGATAGAAAAGGAAGAGATGGGGAAGGACTGGGAAGCTGTGATGCTGTGAAAATAAGGAGTGATTGAATATGAACAGTGGTGATGAACATACATTATAATTTGCAGCAGTGATATGAGCAGTTAGTGGCTTAAGGATCTAGAGGAAAAGAAAAGGATTACTTTGTAAGACAGGAGACTAAACTAAAAGTGAAAATGATGAAAATGCTAAAAAAAATCAATTTAGTAACTGGGGGCTATCGATGGTCAATGAATGTTAGAGAGAAAACTGCCAGAAAAGAGCCAACTCCACATAGATAGAGCAGTCATGCAAAAACGAAACTGTCTCCAAACAACTGTCACTGTATGACCCTAATTACAATCACATTATTGTTAATAATTTTCCCTTTTTTAGGTAAAAAATCAATCAGAAACTCTGGAACAATGCTGAGAAAATACTGTCTAACACAAACAAAATCATTGCAGAGTTCTCAATAATTTAAAGCAGCTCTTGTCCGAGGTTGGACTTTATACATTTGAAGTTAGCTTAAGCCAAAACAAATAATTAGTTAGGCAATTAGTTAGGTTCAGGTTAACCCGTCTAATCGTGTAAGGATGTTGTAGTAGGCCTAGACCGCTGTAGTCGCAAAATGTTGTCTCTCCCTATCTCTACTGGTTACATAATGTTGCAACTTTGTTGTATTTTTTCCAATCATACAAATATTGTTTCTGTTACAGACACACTACTGGACGACTTCCTGCTGCCCTATCCAGTGTTCATGTCAACCAGTGACTTATGTCAAGCTCTGCTGGGACAATATCCTAAAAATATTTTTTGCGGTGGATAAAATTATGACTAAAATTGTTGTTACAGTTTAGCAAAACCACTTCTTTTCACATGCACTGACAAAAACAAACAAAAACCATAGTGTGTACCCCTCTCTGCATGTGATAATACTCCCTCCACATTGTACTTGCACTTGAGCCTTAACTAAATCCCACCTATTGCACCAAACGATACAGAGGAAGAGAGGACAGGAAGGAGGCACTTGAGAGAAAACAGAAAGTCCTGCACCTGGTGTCACAGTGGATGTCTCTCTGCAAAGACTTCCTGAGAGACGAGGAGCCTGTCAAAGTGTTCATGAAGGTAGGAAACAAGATGTACGGGGAAAAGGGTGGCAACTGGGTGTGAAGAGAGCTAAATGTGCAGAGCAATGACAGAGCTGACATTTCCTTTCAGACTCTGTATCGTTACGTGTTGGATGATCTTTACGAGCACCCAGCCCTGGAGGCAGATGTGAGGGAGCTACAGAAACTCTACCAGCTGCATCAGCGACAGTGAGTGACCACATTAGGAATAAAAACGGGAAGTCCAGTACTTACAGTAACAGAGAAATGGGGGAAAAATAAATCAAATCTGGACGGGTACAACAGTATGTGTGACTGTTGGACGCCTGAAAAGAAGCAGAGACACCAGTTGGCCTCTGAATGTAAAGACAGGGCTTCCTTTTTCGTCTGTGCCTTTATTTAGCTTCTCATCAATGACTCTATTCAGACACAGAAGAGTAATCACTGTGTTCTGCAACGGTATTGGCCAAGATATAAAGGTCACCATGAATCTTTGAGGTTGAGGAAATTGAAGAATAGAAAAAAATGAACTGCAAACTTGAAGCCATTGCATCGTGAGAAAAACAAGTTTTCCTTACTTATTTGGTTGCACCTCCAAACAACCACTGAATATAAAGATTAATGGTAAACATCATTGTTGATTAGGAAAAGCAGGGATGCTTTATATAAATAAATTATATAAATATATTAGGGCTGCCACATGTTAACCTCGACAATTAACTCTTGAAATTAATGATTTTTGACACATTTTAATTATGCTTGGGCAGAATGAGAATGCACTGTCTGCCTAATAATTCCACCCTCCATCCACATTTTATTTCTAAAATTTTGACCAGTATCGGCCCGATACCAATCCTGAATATCAGATCGAGCCTTATACTTATACTTTCGTTTATATTCTCTTTTTCCATTTTCATGGAAACAACATTAGCATGACAAAAACTGAATAAACAGAATGATCTCAAACCAACATATGTGTAAACTACCAAGCTCTTTCGGGGACAAAAATAGAAATGACGTGTGTTGAACGTTGTCATAAGCAAATATTGATAAATACAGACAGTTATTTGTGGTAACTGTCATCACAAAACTGTGAAAACAACCCCCCAGTCACCAGACATACTGCCACACCTTTGTCCATCTCCCCCTCCTCTAAGGGCTCTCTCCTATCACATCCTCTCCCTGGGGACCCACCAACCTGTCACCCATTAAAAACTGGTGTAGATAATTCAGGCTGGCTCTGCTGCCATTGTCTGACGCTCCTTTATTCACGTTTATATCCAGGGAGTGGGCCACACCCACTCCTCTAAAGTGCTGGACTTTAGGTGGGTGTTTCCAACTGACACACTCGACTATTTATGAGCTTTTCACAATCCAAGCCCCCTCCCATGGGACGATGAGGGTTGTTAGGTTTGTGGCAATCTGTGAAAAACTAAAAGGTGTCATCTTTCGAAGAAGAAAGTCTTTTTTCTCTTCTGGGTCATTGACTTCCATCTGCCGCTGATCTGAAGTCAAATCGTTCCTGCTAACAGAGAAGGCGCACAACGTGCTCACGTCAAATGTGTCATCTTTATCCTGGTTGACGTTGCTGTGAATCCAGGTTTTGAAGAGAGAAGCTGTGATTGTGATCTGTGCCTCTGTTTTGACATGACTGTGGGGGTCAGGTTCTTGTTAGTGCAGGGCTGCTGATGCCCACTGGGACAGGAACACTGGGGAAGGCTTTGCTCCGACATGCCTTCTGAGATCCACAGCCCAGAGAAGGCAGAGTGGTGATTATAGACACGTGGTTATCCATCATGGTGGCAGGGAGTAACTGAAGAAGATGGGGTCATTAAATGAGGGGTTAACATTGGAAGGTCTGCAAAGTACTATGTACTGGACTAAATACTGAGTTTAAATAATGGACCGAACACAGCAGAGCAGTCTATTCAGTAGGTAAATTCTCTTGAAATTGATTAGTTCTTAACAGATGTGTTTCTTCTTTTTACAGTGCAGTGGATGAATACTCACCGCAGAGAAAGGTATATTGGACTAACTAACTTGTTCTGTTTATTGTACTACTGTACGTGCTTCTATCGTTGTTTTTTTTTAAATTCACCCTTGAATACTTGTCTTATGTGTACTGAGCTAGGAATGTTAGTAGTTGATTCCATCAGATTCTCTATTCTGGCACCCCTACCTAGACTGCTAATCTAAATCTGCAGTGTTTTGCAATGACGAGTGAATGCTATTCTATTCTATTTTATTCTATTATCATTCCATCATCATCATTCCATCCAACAAAGACAACCGCTGTTTTGCCGGTTGACTCTATTGTCCTTTCTCCAAGTGTTTATGCTGTTCTGTAGCTCGGCAGAAAAAGTCCATGTCCTCATGCAGCATGAATGACTGAACGCATTTCCTTTCCTTTTTAGAGCAAAACACTTTTCCACCAATTGAGCCTTAAGGAGGCTGAGCTCCAGGCCAGAAGCACACAGAGGGAGACAAAGGAAGGTAGGTCATAAAACATGGCATTCTGTACACATTCCCCACTTCACGTCATTGTATGATGGACTGAGACATTAAGTCGGAACATGAAAACAATGGGAATGTTTTCAGTGAATGAGTTGGATTGAAAGAATGCAAATACCTACGTCATGACGTAACATTTTCGATATTCAATTTTTAACCTCAGTAAATCAATGTGTCTCTTGCAGCATTGTGCCATGTCTACGTCACCATGGACGTGTACCTCAGTATAAAGGTCCATGGTGGTGTGTTAGCCCAGGAGCTATTACACATAGTGGCAGAAAGGATGGATGTACCCCAGGAGGAATTAGCACTTGTAGCTGTGACATTTCCTGGAGGTATTTACCAATCATTACATACGATCCTAATGAAAATCTCTCCCCAACAACCACCCCTCAGCATTCTTCACCTAACATTGAGACTCGTTTGTTTGTAAACTGTTCAAATAATGACTCAAGTGAAGATATTTATATATATAACAACTTGGATGGTTAAAAAAACAATTTTTTATAAACCTTTATAATTTTATGATTCTTTTCAGGAGCCTTCATTTTGGATCATAATGTACTTTCAACAACTGTTATGTTAGAATGTTAACTTAAGCTTTGGTAATGTGGGGGAGAGGGGGTTAAATCCCCCATCATGTAAGGTCCGTACCAGAGAACTAATCTTCAGCCCTGGCCTCTTTTTATCAGCTCTGGATGACGGGTTACCTCAGATTGGTGCCAACCACATTAACAGTCTGAGCTATATTTGGTCAAATGTGTTCACATGCTGCCTGGTAATCATTTTCATGCCACTGTGTGTGTGACACTTTTTTTTTCTGCAGGCAGGGTCTTCCTGCAGCCTCAGGATAGAGTTTTCTCTGATTCTTTACGACCACTGGGGAGGTTGCACATTTGCAGGAAGGATGCAGGAGAATTCCTGGTGAGAAAATCATTGCAAACAGCCGTTTAAACTACACATGGGTAAAATCAGAGCCAGTAGCACTGACGATGAGGCACCAACCTTTCCCAGAGTTGGATTTACAAATGTAAAAAAACACATGGCACATATATTTTTTGAGTACACAAAATAATGAGTGTACACTATGTTAGAGCATTATTTGGGCATTTAATTGGAATTTCTGCAATGTATGTTTATTTATTTATTATTTCATTTTAGAACTTTAGATTTTTTTTCTGGGAAGTTAAGACATAGTGTATAATAAAAATTCTGCCTCAGTTTCCATTAATAGACAATTCCGAGGTGCAGCAGAGGTCTGCTCGCATGTTCAGTCTAAACACATGGGATGTCGCCGTCGCCTTGACCAACTTTGACTGGACCATCTTCAACTCAATACATGAGGTCTGTCCCACTCCTTGTACAGTACTTTCATGTAAAGTGTACGCGCGTCAAATAGTGCCCCCTGCTGGCCACAAATGCTCTACAGCAGAAACACGTCCTCCTCTATTCACCGTGTCCTTGTTGCTCTTTTTCAGCAACAACTGGTCTACTTCACCTTTAGCCGCCATGCTGGCAGCCACCACACTGTGGCGTTAGAGCTGCTGCTGCAGCGCTGCAATGAAGTGCAGCTGTGGGTGATGACTGAGGTGCTGCTTTGCCCAACACTCTGCAGAAGAGTCCAACTCATCAAGAAGTTCATTAAAATCGCCGCCCAGTGAGTACATCGACCAGCATCGCAGCACACTCTGACTCTGTGTATTGATTGTTATCATATACACACCACCTGCTCACAGTGTTGAATCAAAACAACAGAATTCCTAATTTGGAGCTTGGGAGTTTGGGATTTACCCCCTCCTGTGGTAAATCAATAAAGTGGATCTGCCTTTTTGCCCTGCAAAGTAACTACATTGTCCTCCATTGATCCTTTTAGCTGTAAAGCACAGAGGAACCTCAACTGTTTCTTTGCCGTTATAATGGGCCTAAACGCTGCAGCAGTGGGCCGACTCACCCAGACCTGGGAGGTAAGAATGGAACCTGATCTTGTTGCTTCATCTAAAATCTGTTCTGTCCTGATTGGGTTTTTATCTTTGCAGAAAATCCCTGGGAAATTCAAAAAGCTGTTTTCAGAACTCGAGACAATGACAGTAAGTGACTCATCAAACACCACTCAAAACTACTACAGCACAGTTAAAGTAACCAAGACTCCTTACTGCTATTGCTGTATCTGTGGTTCTCCTTGAGAAGTATTTGTTAATATTTACTACACTCATTCATTTCATTTTACCTTGTCATCTGAGAGCTAATGACAGTTCGGTTAACGAGCCCTAAAGTCCAACTTTAAACAGCTTTTTCGACCGCTTTTCACAACTGCATGTATTAAAACAAAACGCTTCTCTCACTTAAAACATTTAGAGACACAACATACCTGACACAGTATTGAAGACATGAAGAGAAATAGACTGTTTTGACGTTTCCTCAAATGAACCAGGAAATTTGTCTCCCTGTGTGGAGACAAGAGCAATCGATCAGAAATCATTAGATCAAGGATACTATATCGATCACGTGTATACGGATTATTTTAATAACATAAACAATACCGTGAACACCTCTTCTTTTCTTTTTCCAATTTTACATTGCAATCCAATACTATAGAACTCAAAACCGTTTTAGCCCAAACATTTAAGGGCAATTTGTGATTTATAAAGTTTAAGCATAAAAAAAAAACCTATTAATTTTAAAGGTGTTACAAAAAACATGTATTTTTATAGTTTCTACCATTTCAGCTCTGTTAGAAAGTGCTTTTAACACCTTCATTTCTACCCTTTTAAACCACTGCACAATGTTCAAATGCCGGTCGCTCCAAAATACAAATACAGCTGCTAGAATTTTTAATTATAAGGAAAAAATACATATGCATTTCATGCCATATCTTACCTTTATTCTCTTGTGCCCTAATGTCTTTATAAAAATAAATATGACTTAATCTGACCTAATCTTTACCATAAAAGGGAAGTCGATAGTTCATGTAAACATGTTTTTTTTTACGTGACTGTCCTAACATGAGGTGAAACATCTGGTGTATCAGATGATCGTCAGTCTCTGATGCTGCCATAATTCAGCTCTAACAAAGCATGCATGCACAGACATGCATAGACACTTCTCTCCAGATGATTAGACTCATTCCCTGCAAAAATGTCTTCACAGGATCCTTCACTGAACCACAAAGCCTATAGGGACTCCTTCAAAAAGATGAAAGCACCAAAGATCCCCTTTCTTCCTCTGCTACTGAAAGGTGCGCTCATTACTCTGTCACTTCAGCATGCAACAGATAGTTCAACTCTGACACCAGGGCAAAGTGGGGTTTTAAGTTAGGGAAATTTGGCAGGAAGTCACATACTAAATATCAACCTTTTCCCCCCAGATATCACATTCATTCACGAAGGTAATAAGACATTTCATGACAACCTGGTCAACTTTGAGAAACTGGTGAGTTTGGGTCTGTTTTGATCTTTAAGATACTACTGAGTCGAACTGCTGCACTGGTAATGAACCAGAAATAATGAGATTTAATATGTGTTTGTCTTTATCTTCAGCACATGATCGCAGACACAGTGCGCCTCATCCGACAGTGTCAGACAGATCCCATGGGTTTGTATTTACAATCACCTTCTCCTCAGTACATAACGTGACAGACAGGACTGTTTGTGCTTCTCCACACAATAAAATCTTAATTAGAATTATTAATTGCAATGATTTCTAAGATGTAAAGTAAAATTATAGCAGTAAATATTTTTTAAGTATAACGTAAATTTTGCAAACTTAATATTGACATCATCATTGACATTAATTATAAATTGATGAATTGCAACATCCTGTAACTAAATTTATTTTTTTATGAAAAATAGTCTTCTTGGAATTCCAAAGCAATTGGAAAAAACAAGTTGAGCTGCAATACTGACCCCTCATGGACTATTTGCAATAAACTATCTATACCACAGTATCCAGAAGGACAAAAATCCCAGCAGATAAACACGTCGTTATTTATAGTATTTTCTGTCGCTCATCAAAAATACCGCTGGGAGTTAACATTATTTTTATTCTATGGTAAATCTGTCATATTGTTTTATTTTTTCAACAGGAAACAGCATCACTCAGAAGAGCAGCCCTGACGTCAGAGCCTACGTTGATTACCTTCATATCATCGACAATCAGCAGACTCTGTTTGAACTGTCGCACAGGCTGGAGCCCAGAGCTTAGAACAGTTTCTCCCTCTGCTCTGTTCACTCTGTCACAATGTCAGGTCGCCAAGGGACAATCTGCAGATGTCTCCTTTATCTCTCAGGACACAAGTCAGAAAGAAGACTGCATGACCGTAGCCAGCCACAGGGGGGAGCCATCCAATAAGAAATCTCTGTGCACAAACGTCTGAGGTTAGAATGAGGTCAGACCTCTGATGCCTGCTCGCAAGCTGTGTGTGTGCGCGCGTTTTAGCCAGTCCTGCTGTCTCTCTGCTGTTACTTTTATTTCCTACAGGTGGAGGTTTCAGCGGGTATACTACAGATCCGTGTGACGGCCCAACAGCGCCTCTGTGTGGCTTAGCAGTCTGCAAACCCGAGATTGTTTACAAAGCTACAAAAAGACAAGAAAAAGTCAGAGATCTGCAACATCAAAGTTTTGTTTGACAGAAAAGGTCACAGGTATTTTTAACAAGTGACAAACAATTATTAGACAAATGATGCAGAAGAATGCCAAAGCATTTAACAGCATCAGATATTTTATGTCAGGATTTAACCAAAGAGCAATTAAGTAAGTGTTTCTTTTGCGTTTCATCTTTTTTGACAGGTAATTACAGGTTGTTGAAGTACAAATGAAGACGTGGTTCTGTTTAAATGGATTTTCACCACAGAACCGAATTATTTATTCACCTTCTATCGTTTCATGCTTTTCAGGGTCATGGCGGGTTATGAGGTCGATCCCAGTAGGTAGTTATTGCCTGGACAGTCTGCCAGTCTATCACGTACAAACAAACACGAGACAAACACTCATTCACATTCCATTTCATATTTGTGGTCAACTATTGACGAACATTTAACTGTAAACCTGCATGTTTTAGACAATGGGAGGAAACTGCAGATAACACAGAGAACAAACAAACTTTACAAAAAGACTGAGAATCAAATGAACTAGTGACCTTTTTGTAGTAAGGCAAGATCAAATACCACTCACCCCCATCTGGTCCCTGTTATTGTTGCGGTTAAATAGTTCACATTTCATACGAATAGTTTTGAATATACTTCATTAGTTTGTGACCTTTTATTATTCACCTGTAGTTCAGGAAATATGAGGATCAGTTAAAACAGTAGGTTGTGTGTGAAAACTGGTTGTTTTTTTTTCTGCAAATGCTCGTGCCAAATACCACACACTGTCCATGACTGTTTAGTCCTCACTCCATGTAGTAAAGCATTGGACAATCAGTAGAAGATAGATGTCTACATTTCAGGTTCAGGCCCAAACATCAAAGTCTGAGAATCATACAGTCACAATGAATCGTTTCAACTTCACAGGTTCAGTCCTTCTACAGTGTTTGAGGGACCAGGATTAGTCGGTCTACATCGCTAAACTTCAGGCATCCATTTTTTTTATTATAAACTTCCCTATTAATAAGAGAGAATTGTTTTTCATATTAATTTTGTTTTTTCTGAACAGACAGAACATGTGCAATAGCAAAATAAAATACTGCAGCACCTTTAAACATGAACACAGGTTGAGCAGAGAGATTGATGCCGCTGTCTCCGACTGTGTAGCAGAAAAGTATTATAACGTATGAGTACACGTTGTTAAATGGTTATGGTGGGGTATTACTGTAAATGATACTTCTCAACATTTTGTGTGTATATATTTGTTTTAAACCCACCATAAACATAGAAATACACATACAGTACTCTTTATGTTTTACCATCAGCTACAGGTATTATTTATATTGTACTGTATATACTGTATATTTTTTTTACATATGTGTAATTATTTATTTCTGACATATTTATTTGTTCTTTAAATGCACATTTTTTCTTTTTTTTTGTGGATTCTTTGGACGCACTTTTTGGATTGGTCTGCATGACATGGACAACCATGGATTGACCAGCAGTGCATGCAATAAAGTGTTTTCTCATTTTGACGAGCTTATTTTCTATTATCTAAAATGTTTCACTGTAACATCATGATGATATTTACATTGCTGTAAACCATTGAAAATCTTTTTTTAGTCCAAAAATGTATGAAATATTAGATACAAGATACGTAAAGGTTAGAATAATTAATACAAATCTGTTAAATATAGATATATTTTGGCTTCAAGACAATTTAGTAAGAGTATAGCACAGATACAGCTACAATTTAGCCAAATGATCTGATAAATGATGGATACAAATTTATATTTTTCCACAAGTGAAGCTACAAATTTTAACCTTAAAAAATGGAACTAGCCAAGAGTTGGTCCACAGAAACATAGTATTTGGAGAAAAAAAAAAAGGCTAAAGAATTACTAGCCTCTGCTAGTTTATTAGCAAAAATGTCAGGCATCTCAATGAAAAAAGTTATTTTCAGGCTTTTTGATATAGAAATATGGACCATTATAAAGTAAATACAAACACCAAAATCTCACCCAAAGTCGTGGTGTTTAAAAAGTCATCATGTTCTGTCATTAATTTCTACAGTGGCTGAAGTCAGAACATGTCGTTTCTCTGTTTTTTTTTTTTTTTTAATATAATCGCCAACTTACAAACGCAGCTTTTTGGAAGGGAGTTGGGGGGGGGGGGTAATAATCAAACCATCAGTAAACAATGCATCTCCCTTGGCTGCTGGCACCGAGGCGTAGGTGTGACCCAGATGCCCTTTCTGACTTTAACCAGGTGTCCTGCTCGGCCTTTAACATGACTATCAGTGGCAGAGCCCCTGCTGAGCTCAGACCCCGTACCCTGCCATTTCCTCCCAAACACCGCCAGCACTGTATCATTTCCCTGTCACCAAATGACTGGCTAGCTGCTCTGTGGTGCTAATGAGGGGAAGAGAGGGCAGATGAAGAGAAACTACAGGAAGGCCGCTTCTTCATTTCCCCTGTGCAACACAATACACAGAATCAATCCTCCGTCCTCAGCTCGTCTGTCTGTAACCACGGTGGCAGCAGGGAGAAATTAGCATCAACACAGCAGTTATTAGTGCTGGAGAAAATCTCATCTGAGCAGATAAGAGACTTGATCTCCATCCAAAACAAGACTCACTGGTGTGAATTGCTCTTCCCGACAGAGGTGGTTGTGGTCACAGTTATTGCACTTGTTTTAATAAAACGCACAGATGCAGAGACTATTTCTAATAGGATAATCTAAAGAAGTAAAATTATAAATGTCATGATAAAGGATTTAATAGCGACTACCTGTGGTAGTTCCAGGTACTTCATCATGCTGCTGATGGAGTTGTTTTTAATTATAATAAAAAACAACAATTTGGTATATTGTGCTTCTGTGCAAAGGCTAAATCATACGTGCAGCTACAGATTACAGCATTTTAAAGAGTGTATGTATAATGAGGTTCTAAACTTATGAACACACGTCGCTTATGAATATAATATATATTATATTCAATATAATAACTGAACGCCGACCGCCGGTTGTGGCATTTTGGGGTATTTATTATTTTGTTTGAATAAACAATAACTTGTTTTAGGTGATGTTTTGCACCACAAACAAAAAAATCTTAATTTGTTTCTCATTAAATAATTAGATGTGTGCAGACAGATGGCTAATATATTGGGTGTTAATGTCTTTCTCGTTGAACACTATTTCTGTCTTTGAATGTGTTTTTCCAACAGGCCCCGGCTGCATGAATTACACTGCTCTGTTAGTATTCTGCCTCTGCAGTACAAAAGGTCAATGTCAAATGCACCTCATTTAAAAGTCAATAGCCACCACGCACATCATCTCCTGGGAATTCTGTCCGGGAAGCTTCCAGACGGCATTGTGTATCATTCAGTTAGCAGAGGGCAGCCGCTGCGCTTTTTTAATCTTGACCTTCCAATAAAATATGCTCCCCATCCAGAATTACATGGTCTGAAATGGAGACATAAGCTTCCAACAAATCATGCTCACAGTGGACCATCTCAGGGGAGAGGGTTCAACAGTGTCGCACACGGACAACAGGTTCATCACGGGTTAAACCCAGTCTCTCTGAAGGCCTCCTCTTCAAATGTACAACCCAGTCAAAAACACAGGAAATTCAATGGAAATCATTATGTAACTATAAGTATGTTTTTATTTAATACTGCTTAGTATATACTGGAGGTAAACACAGAAGGGTCAGCACACTAAACTTTTCTAGTTTTACTGACTGCTAAAAGTGCCGTACACTGGAAATGTGCATTTACAGCTACTTATTTACACCTTCATTCAATCATTCCACATCAGTGGCCAATTCATTAGGTCCTACTACTATGGGGTCAGTTTTTTTCTACAGAACTTCCATAATTCTTCAATCAAATATGTTGGATTTTTTTTTTTACCTTCTTAAAAATTTGATTAAAGATCGCATTTTAGCCCAACTTTTAAATTTTATCAATCACAGTCTTCTGCCACAGCTAACAGAGGGTTGTGTGTAAAACTTAGTTTTCACTACAGGTAGACTAGTAATCTAGGATTTGGACAGCCCGCTCCAGCTTGTTGCCATTAAACACTGTGCAGTAGCTCTCACAGCCAAACACCAGGTCACACAGACAGCACCAATGCCACTCCAGCTACAACCCACTTAGCAACAGGCTGTTTGGTTCTGAGACGCAGGGTCCAGACATATGTTGAGCCACGCTGCTTAGTGCGGTACACTGGACACTCATAAGTACTTTTGAGTTCCTGCTCCTCAG